AGATTTCAAGCTTACTTTCAATAATGATTAAGAACAACTAGATATGCCGGCGCTGTGGCATAGTGGGAAAAGCTGCTGCCTGCAGTGCCAGCATCCTATGTGGGTACCAGTTTGAGACCTGGCTGCTCCACTTCTGATCCAGCTCTCTGCTGTGGCCTGGGAAAGCAGTAGAAGATGGTCCAAGTCCTTGGGCCCCTGCACCTGCGTGGGAGACCCGAAAGAAACTCCTGGTTCCTGGCTTCGGATCAGCACAGCTCTAGCCATTGCAGCCAATTGAGGAGTGAACCAGCAGATGGAAGACCTCTCTCTCTCTGCCTCTCCTTCTCTCTGTGTGTGACTCTTTCAAATAAATAAATAAATCTTTAAAAAAAAAACAGCTAGATATAATATCAATAAAGAAATAGAAGACTTGAATAAACCAATTAGATCTCAAAGACACCTATAGAATACTCCTTAACAATCATAGACATTTTTTCAAATGTATATGGAACATTCTCTAGGGCAGACCATTTGTTAGGTCACAGAACAAGTCTCCAAAAAGTTGCAAGACTAGGGCTGGCACTGTGGTTCAGGGGGTTAATGCATGGCCTGCAGCACTGGCATCCCATATGGGTGCCTGTTCAAGTCCCAGCTGCTTCATTTCTGATCCAGCTCCCTGCTAATGCTCCTGGGAAAGCAGCAGAAGATGGCCCTAGTCCCTGGGCTCCTGCAACCACATGAGAGACTTGGAAGAAACTCCTGGGTCTTGGCTTCTGCCTGGGCTAGCCTTGCTGTTGTGGCTGTTTGTGGAGTGAACCAGCAGATGGAGGATCTCTCTCTGTGTCTCTCCCTTTCTCTCTAACTCTGCCTCTCAAATAAATAAATCCTTTTTAAAAATATTACGAGACTGAAATCATACAAGTCCTTCCATCCACAATGAAATGAAATCACATTATCAATAACAGAAGGAAAAGGAAATTTAATAAATTCACAAAATGTAGAAATGAAACCGCGTTCCCTAATAGTTAAAGGAACTGTGGCTTCTTGGGGAAGTGGCAGGGAAAATAGCAGCTGAGTCTGGAGCATCTGCTAGTACCAGAAAATAGGACAATGCTAAAAAAATTAAATAAATAAAAAAGATGGGTGGGGGATGGCAAAGGGATTCAGGAGGCAATCTGAAAGAATGCCTATGGTCAAAGCAAGAACACTTTGAGTAAGAAATTAGGAAACACAGTATTGGATCATAACCTAAAGTATAAAATAATATCTACAGTCCATACTGACATAGTAAAAGATTAGACAGAGATGATCTGACCCATTCCCTTGAGTGTGGTTGCATTCAGTGTCCTAGATCCAAAGTATAAAGCATAGAAAGAAGAGAAAAATTAACCTTAGTGTGAAGAAACCTGGTCAACATTATGTCAGCCAGGGGATGAAAGGTAATGTTTTCAGTGATGAGTCCTGTTGCTCTGACATAAAGGGGAAGGCACTTTATCTCTGAGGTCTTCCTCCCAAAAACCATTACCCTCTGAGTAATCATGAGAAAACTGTTGGAAAAATCCCAGTTGAAGGATATTCTATAAAATACTTGACCAGAGGATAATAAGAAGACATGATGATTAATGTCAAGTGGTATCCTGATTCAGAGCAAGGACTTTAGTGGAAAATTAGCAAACCCAAGATGAAATTTGGAGGTTCATTAGTTGTAACACATGTAGCATAGATGCTACCATTGAGGTAAACTATTAACAATAAAGCAAACTGCCTGAGGAGTCTACAGGAACTTTGTATTATTTTTGTGCCTTTTCTGTAAATCTAAAACTATTCTGAAATCTAAAAAAAAGATCTGAAAAAATGAGACCTGGGGCAGAAGTTTGGACTAGCAATTAAAACTGGTTAGGGGTAGGCACTGTGGAGTAGTGGGTAAAGCCGGCATCCCATATGGTGCCGTTCAAGTCCCTGCTGCTCCACCTCTGCTCCAGCTTCTGCTATGGCTGGGAAAGCAGTGGAAGATGGCCCAAGTCCTAGGGCCCCTGCACCGTGTGGGAAGACCCGGAGGAACTCCTGGCTTCAGATCAGTGCAGCTCTGGCCATTGTGGCCAAGTGGGGAGTGACCCAATGGATGGAAGACCTCTCTTTCTCTCTGCCTCTCCTTCTCTCTCTGTGCAATTCTGACTTTCAAATAAACAAATAAATCTTAAAAAAAAAAAAAAACTGGTTAAATGCCTGCATCCCATATTGGAGTGCCTGTTTGATACCCACCTCCAGCTCCTGACTCCAGCACTATGCTAATAGGGACCTGGGGAGGCAGTGGTGATGACTCAAGTAATTGGGTTCCTGGCATCCTCATGAGAGACTCAGATTGAACTCCTGGCTCCAAGCTTCAGCCCTGGCTAGAAGCCATTATGGACATTTGAGGAGTGAATCAGAGGATGGAAGCTCAGTCTGTCTGCCTTTCAAATAAATAAATAATTTTTAAATGATGAGTTGCCAGTAGCCATGGGAATGAGCCTTTAAGCATATTCTCATCAGCTGAGATTTGAGGTAACTGTAACTCAGCTGACTTGGATCGTAATTTTGTAAGAGACTCACAGCCAGAGGCATCCAGCTAAACTGCCCCAAGATTTGTGATCTAAAGAAACTGCCTATTAATCCAACTTTGTTGTTTTCAGTTGTTAAATCTTGGAGCAATTTGTTACAAGCAATAATAATACAATTCCTTGTATGCCTTTAATATTCAGAAACACCTCCAGTATAACACAGGTGTAATTTGAATTCCATCTGTTTGGTAGTTGCAGTCCTCAGTATATTCTCATTCTGGTTTTTACAACATACTCAACAGCAAATTTACTTAGGATTTACTTTACTACATCCTCTAAATAAATTTATTTTAGAGTATAAAAGCAAAACACATGCTGATGATGGGCTGGTGCTGTGGCATAGCTGATTAAGCTGTCGCCTGCAGTGCCAGCATCTCCTATGGGCATCACTTTAAGTCCAGGCTGCTCCACTTCCAACCTGATAACGTGCCTGGGAAAGCAGTAGAAGATGGCCCAAGTGCTTTGGCCTCTGCACCCACTGGTGAGACCTAGATGACACTCGTGGATTCGACCTTGCCTAGTCCTGGCCATTGTGGCCATTTGGGGAGTGAACCAGCAGATGGAAGATCTCTCTCTCTCTCTCTGTTTCACCCTCTCTCTCTTTCAAATAAATAAACAAATAAATCTTTAAAAACATATACATATATATGTTGATGAATGCCAAATCTATATTCCCAGACCACATTAGTTTCCTACTAATCATATTCATTGGATTGTATGTGGTATCTCTAAATCAACATATCAAATAATTTTTCATATTTCATATGTCAATAGCTAGTCCCACTACTCAACCCTAAGATAATTCATCGTTGACTTATTTTCACTTAATTATCAACAGCCCCTTCTACTCAGCCACAGATTCCTTCAGGTAATACATAGCTCCTAAATAATTCTCAGACATCCTTTTATAGGAGGATGTGTCCCTAATACCCTAATTCTTGTTTAAATGCTCATCATCTCTGCTGGGCCTTCTCCTAGTCTTTTTTCTTTTCCTCTCAATATCCACACTCCAAACTTCAACCAAGATTAGATAATTAAAACACACCACCGGCGCAGCAACTCACTTGGCTTATCCTCCACCTGCGGCACCGGTACCCCGGGTTCTAGTCCCGGTTGGGGCGCCAGATTCTGTCCCGGTTGCTCCTCTTCCAGTCCAGCTCTCTGCTGTGGCCCGGGAGGGCAGTGGAGGATGGCCCAAGTGCTTGGGCCCTGCACCCACATGGGAGACCAGGAGGAAGCACCTGGCTCCTGGCTTCAGATCCGTGCAGCGTGCCGGCTGTGGCGGCCACTTGGGGGGTGAACCAACGGAAAAGAAAGACCTCTCTCTCTCTCTCTCTCTCTCTCTCTGTCTAACTCTGCCTGTCAAAAATAAAAAATAAAATAATAAAAAAAAAGAAGTAGAGCAGCCAGGACACAAATCAGGGCCCACATACAGCAGCTTAATCCACCCCAAACTTTGTTTTTTAAACAATGCTTGTGTTGGCACTGGTGTTGTGGTGCAGTGGTTCAAGTCCCACTGCTCCAGTTCCAATCCAGCTTCCTGCTAATTGCCCTGGAAAGCAACAGAAGACAGCCCAAGTGCTTGGGCTGCTGTCACCTATGTGGAAGACCCAGAGAGTTCCAGACTCCTGGCTTCAGCTCTGGTTGTTGCAGCCACTTGGGAAGTAAACCAGCAGATGGTAGACCTCTATGTGTCTCTTTTCTCTCTGTAACTTTGCCTTTCAAATAAAATTAAAATTTTAAAAATCACAAAAATTAACCATGAGTTTACGTTTCTCAATACTGAACTGTAGATTTTGTATTTTTTAAGCTATAATTTGCAAGGCAAAGGGTCAGAGGCAGACAGAGATCCTATCCATTAGTTCACTCCTCTGCTGCCTGCAATGGCTGAGGCTGGGCCAAATCAGATAAAGGGAGAAAAAGTGGATCCAGGCCTCCTAAGCAGGGGGCGAGACCCAAGTACTTGAGCCATCGCCTGTTTCTTCCAGCTCCTGACTGAGCAGGAGTCTGGAACCAGGAGCCAGAGCTGAGACTAGAACCTGGCACTACTGTATTGGATGCAGGTGCCCCGATCAGCATCTTAACTGCTATTTCAAAACCTACTTCCGAACTTTGGAGCATTATTTTATTTTTTGTTTCTCCAATTTATTTGTCTATCACATAATAAGTTTGCTAGACTGTGGTGAAAACAAATTATTTAAAGTGCCCCCATATCCAGCATTAAGTAACCATCCTTATTGTTTGCACACTGAAAGACATATGTATATATATAATGAAACCTATATTTTTACCTACCACCAAGAACTTAAAATCATTTTGGAGTAAATGGTCTGTTATTCTATTATCTATATTGTATTTTTTGTTATTAATGTGTTTATGATATACCAAAAGCAGTACAGTAATCTCATTTAGATTACTTACGTAGTTACATTTTGTAGCTGTTTTCCCTGGCCTTCACAGCAATTCTCTGAAACAGAAAGAATGTTCAGGCCGGCGCCACAGCTCAATAGGCTAATCCTCCACCTAGCAGCGCCGGCACACCGGGTTCTAGTCCCGGTCGGGGCACCGGATTCTGTCCCGGTTGCCCCCTTCCAGGCCAGCTCTCTGCTGTGGCCCGGGAGTGCAGTGGAGGATGGCCCAAGTACTTGGCTGCAGCGGCCATTGGAGGGTGAACCAACGGCAAAAGGAAGACCTTTCTCTCTGTCTCTCTCTCACTGTCCACTCTGCCTGTCAAAAAAACAACAACAACAAAAAAAGAATGTTCAATACTTCTAATTTTCAAAAATCAGAGAAAGAATGCTAGGTGTTTTCTTCCTTTTGAGTTTCCATTTCTGTATTTTAATTATGAAAATTGAATGAAGTATTTTGGTTCCCATATTCCCACAATGAACACTTAGGTAACCTTGAGAAACCAAAAAATACCAAGAAAACAAAATCAAGAATATAAACTGTGTAACGAAGGCTTGAGAAACAACACTGAATCATGACAAAGGAGATCAGTGTTTTGTAAGGAAAGTAGATACATATGTCAGAAATCAAAGCACAAGCATTTCACAAAGCTTTAATAACAGATCAGCGTTCAAAAGGCTTAGCTACCTTAATTAGACACACTCCTAGAAACAGTTTTGTTACATTTTAGTTTATTTGCCTTTCATGTAGGCAAAATGATTGTGATAATCCAGTTTTTATGGCATTTTGCAATACCTTTGGGGGGTATATGGACAACTAACAACTAATTTTCAACGTCCTTTCCTCCCCCAGAAGAGTGTAGTCTGTTTCCGTCTCTTTCTTCCGCTTTCTCTAAGGCTCTGCGTGGGATTTTCCTTCCCTCTTCATCCTGATGGTGTAACACATGGTCACGTGCTCACTGTCTGGTTTTCCTCTGGGTGGTGTGGGGACTCTTATTTCCTTCTCCTTTTCATCTTTTTCCTTTCATTATGGCCTCTAACAAGATCCTCTCCAGGGTCCCTCTGATCTTTATGCTAATAGAATAGCACCAAATGACTGAAAGGAAGACAAAGAGAAAAAAAAATCATCCAAAAGCAGCTGGGAGTCCTCAGTTCTAAGCATCTCTATGGTAACAGTGCCACAGAGATCGATCTGGAAACAATTCCCTAGAGATCACTGGAGCATCGGGGAACCAATCTCACCAACGCTTACTTAGAGGATTCAACTCGCAAATCAGAATATAGTAGCTGATAGACTGTTTTAGAGAAAATAAAATAGGTCAGATAAAAATTATATTTACCACTATAGTGTATTTTTTAAAAATGAAAACTTCCTACTTGCTGTAATAATAAAAAGGCAAAAGGAATGCAGGCACTAATTTCAATTCTTTCTTAAGCATTCATATTGGCAAAGAGTGCCCAAAACAACGAAATTACTTCAAAAACAAAGAAAACGTCCACCGTTGGTGGTGAAAAGTCATTCATATCATTAGAATGATTTTGGGGTTGTAGCTTATAACCACACAAAGTAAATACTTGTGTATAAAAGGATTTCAGAATTTTTTGCACCAAAATAAACTTTTAATTCCATTTTCTATGAGTTTTTTGAAGTGTCCTGCTATGTGGAAAGAATGCCAAATCTAATCAGGCTAGTAAATAAACTGAATTCAGGCAAGAGATTTCAGAATTCTGTCAAATCAGGTTGAAAGACTGAAAGGATGAAGTAGTGATGTAACTCAAACCACGGGGGAGGGGGTCAAGGGAAAACCTCACCTGAAGCATGAAAGCTTCCTTACTAACAGCAATTAAAAAAAAAAAAAAAAAAAAGAGGTGAAGTGACAGCAGGACAATCAAGTTTTTGGACTGTTCAAAAGTCTCTAGCCAATAAGCCAAGAACCACAGGTCCCCAGTGATGGCAACTCTAGTGTTGTCATGGGAAGAACTGTGATTTGCCTAAAAATGCTGCCTGTTCACTTCACTCATGGATAAGTTACTTGCAACCCCAGGAAGGTTCAGTGTCTTAAGACCCTAACCCTTGGTGTAATACCATCTGGATTTGAATCCTACTTGTGCCACTCAGCTGTGTGATCTCAGGCAACTATTTCCACATCTCCAGGGCTCAGGCACTTCAAGTGTAAAATGAAGATGATAATAGTGGTTAGTGTTCAGGGTTGTAGGGAGCCATTGTAGAACCTGGCTCTTGCTGGCATTTGGAGTGATCCAGTGAGTGAAAGATCTCCCTGCCTTTCCAATAGAAATGAAAATATATTTTAGGAAAAATGTAAAGAGTTGGTGAATCGAGTACATTGCTTAGCTCAAGCAAGCTCTCAATACTTGTGACAGCTATTACTACAGCATCCTCATTTTGTTTTTTCATCTCTTGTGATAGGGATCACACTCTGCGGCTCCGGCTTCCTCAGAGCGGGATTCTGAGGGAGTGAAACTCAAGAACGGCAGTCAGGCACTATAAACTGGGTAATTTTTGTAGTCCCACATTGGTCTTAGGCAGGGGTGAGGATGAATTAAAGCCATGAAATGCAAGTTTCTTTTCCTTGAAGCTAAGTGGCCTCGCGTCTCCACCGCACACGCTGCGGATCTCACAGGGCACAGAATACTACCCTCCTCCACTGCTAACGCCCTTCACCCCACTCCCAACGGGAGGGCAAATGCCTGTTGCACCACGCCCCAAATCTTTTGGCTGGGAATTTTTAGGTAGGTTATAACCTAGCTTCGTCCACATTTCCAACCTTCAGCAACTCTCTACTGTGATCCAAACCGTCTTCTCTCGCTCGCTCTCCAAGCAGGTTCCTATCTCCACTTCAACGCACATGGTCTTTTTACCAGGATTACCCTCCACTCCTCCCACGGAAATTCAGCTTGTATGTTTTTTTTACAGTTAGGAAAAAAGAACCAGGACGTGTCATTAGGAACCTGGGTGGCCTGACATCACAAACAAAAAGTACTTATCAGGGGACACTTGCAAATGCAATTTTCAAGAATGCAAAGCCGTATTTAGAAAACACGCAGTAGGGCTCCATGAGCGACTGAAAGGCTCCGCGAAGGCGGAGGAGACAGCGAGGAACGATCTGGGGCGAGGAGGGAAACGCCGAGAGCAGGATAGACTCGCCGGCCTACGCCGCGCCCGCGGAGGCGGCTCCGTGGGAGGCCGCGGGCAGCTCGGGGCCCAGGCAGGAGGACCCCGTCCTGAAGCCGAAATCGGGCCTGTGGACATTTTTGTCTCTCGGCAGAGTCCCGTTTTTTACTACAGAACGCAAACATGGTGGAAGGAAAGAGCCCTCTCGGCCTTTGGCTGCCGAGTCACGTGGCGCCATTTCCACGCACTTGACGCGGGGAAGAAGGTGGGGCCTCTATGGAATTTGCTGGCTGTGGAGCCTAGCACTGGGGAACTTCCTTCAAAACACAGTAACGGGAGCGCCTCCGCCCCTCTCTCCTCCTCCCCGAGGGTACAGAAAGGTGTACTCTGAGCTTTAGACGGTGGTAAGGTGAGCAAGGAAGGCGGAGTCACCCCGGCTCCCTCACTAAGCCGACCGAGTAGGGCGGCTCTTCACTTTTCCGCGGAGCGGCCCGCTGACGCGCAAGCGCACTTCGCCCGGGCCGCGTCAAGGCGGGACCGGTCTCGCGAGACCCTGAGGCCTGCTTTCGTCGCGCTCGCTCCGCCCCCTCCTTCTCGCTCCCTCTCTCCCATCCCCCCAAGCCAGTCGCTCTGCTGCGCAGCTCCCTTAGCGGTTGCCACTGCTGGAGACGGTTGGGAGGACCGTTGTAGGGAGCGCCGCACGAGGCGAACGACTGCCCCCTCCTCACGACCGGACCCTCACGAGCACCGGCGCCGGCGTTTCTATCGCCCGACAGGGTATCTGAAGTAAAAGGGGGTAGGTTGGGCTGGTGGTTTCGAGAGCGGAGTCGGGAGAAGGACGAGACCCAGGAGGGGGTGGGGCGGGGGGAAGTGTGGAGGTCGCCGCTCGGAGGCGGGCGGGGCTGCGCCTCCCGGGCGATCTCCCACTTCTAGGAGGGCGGCCTGCCGGGCGAGGACTTGCTCGGGTGGAGCTCGGTGGACGACGCGGAGGCCCGAAGTGGAGGGCGTCCAGCCCTTCTCTCTGCCTTGCTGGTTTGGCCTCCGCCATTTTGGGTACGGTGGCGCGGCCACCTTGGCTTCCCGCCCTTCCCCGTTCCTTCTACTTCTTGTTCCCAGCTTTGGAAAGACTGATTGAGCTGGCCGGGGCCGGGGCCGGGGCCGGGGCCGGGGGCGGGGGGTGGTCCAGCTCCCTGGCAGGGGATGAGGGTGGGCGCGAAGCGAGCAGGGCCAGGCCCGGCAGCGGGGCTGGGGGGAGGGTCAGGGCTGCCGCCGGGCGCGCTCCCGATGGAAATGGCGCCGGATGGGCCTGGCCTCCCACCGCAGCCTCCCTTCCTCCGCAGCCTCGGCAGGGCTACCTGGCGGGACTGCCGGTGACTTCTGACGCAGATTCCCAAGATGAGAGAGGCCGGAGCTGGGGCAGGAAAGCCAGTGGCGACGGAGGCGCTCAGCTCCCAAATCCAGGACAAAGGAGGCAGACGGCCTCCTTTGTACTTCCGCCGCCCGGTGGCGAAGGTTTTTAAGCCCAGCTTGGCTGCCGGCCGGGGAGGGGGTAGGGGCGCGCTCTCCCGAGCTCTCCGGTCTCTAGGGCAGCTAGATAAACGGAAAGCCTCCGGGGAGGAATAAAGGACGCTTAGCCGGCCCTTAGATTCCAGATTTGGAACTTCGAAAAGAGTACGTACTCATTTTCCAAAGAGGTTGTTTTCTCACGCTTGAACGTTTGTAACGACTTTGGGTGATTTTGCCAGCAGCAAGCTGGGGGACTTACCGAATAGGACTGTGAAATGGGCATGTTTCAAAGAGGCCGTCGAGGCCCAGTGAACTGTGAGCACTTTTTGGACTTTTGGGCCGGGGTGGGTGGGTGGCTTAGCAATGGCTTTGTGTAGTTTGGCACAGATGGGTTGGAATTTGTTTTTAAGTAGGAGTTTTGCTTTTGGAAAACAGTTGTTAAAACACAGCCAGCGATGGCCAAAATGTGTTTATGTATGTAGGAGTTGAGTCGCTATTAAATCTCGAAGAGTATTTTGTGCAGATATTTTCCCTTACCATGAAGGCCGTAGAAGTAAAATACTTGATACAGAAGTATATTAATACTTTGAACAGGAAATAAGCGTTCTGAACACTACGGCATAATGTAAGCTCAGTCACATGGCAGTGCGATGGGGGAGGGCTCAGAACATCGGAGAGCTGGCTTGGTAATTTTCCTTGAAGATAGAGACGAGGGGCCAGGCTTAAGAATAAGCGGTTTAAAAAATACCTGTAAGTCTTTACGGGAAGTGTTACCTACTTTTCCAGTTTTAGAACCAGAAAAAAACTGCGTGCTGTTGAAAATGTTTTGTGATGCTTTAATCGAGGATAAGTTTAACTAAATCTTAGCTTGAGACGCAGATTTTCGTGGAGTTTGTGAAACCAGCTCAGATTTTTTTAGTAGGAGATGACCCACAGCTTTTCTGATTGTGTTAAACTACCATACACACCTGTTTTTTACTGGCCATCTTTCTATCATAGTCTGGAAATCTAATTGCATTTTTAAGCAATAATGTTACCTTTTGATGTCTTACCTGGTAAACAGGAGTGGACTGCAGTAGGTAAAACCTTGGTCCTAGTAAACGTATTTATAATTTTTGAAGACTAGGCTCCTTTAGATATTAGTGGTGTCTGATTTTCTAATTTAAAATTGAGGAGCAAGAACTTCAGAAAAAGAGGAACCAAGTAAAATTTGCGTTAAACATGTTTGCCAATTTTTTTGTCAAAAAGTTCATTCTCTTTTATTTTTTGGCATTATATTAAAAATGGAAAAAGTTCCTTTGGCACTCATGGTGCTTCCTCCCCCCCAGGCCATTCCTAGTTTTTAGAAAATTATTTTTTTTGATACATCAGATCCTGTATGACACTTCAACAAATAAAATAGTTTTCCATGTTAGGGGAGTTCTGTATTTCAGTTAATCTCTATTAGATGTTCTTTTAAAAAAGTAGCTTTGAGATAATGAGCAAATCAAACTTCACCCATTTAAAATGTTAAGTTCTTTGGGGTTTAGTGCATGGACGGTTTTGTAACCATCACTAGAATTTATCACTCAAAGATTGCTATACCCATTAGCGGTCATCCTACATGCTAATTCCCTCTCTCCCCTCAGGTCTACAACATTGGTGAAGCAGTCTGGTAGCTTTTTGTATTGTAGATATTGGTTTAAATAGAGGCAATATCAAGGGCCTTCAAAAAGTCATGGGAATTTTATAACAAGGGGGGGGACTATATGCCTGGATTTCAGGTTTTTTAATCAAAATATTTCCATTTTCCATGAACTTTTTGCAGTGCCCTTGTATTTAAAGTCATACAGAATTGACTAGTTTATCTTCCTATTTCAACTGCTGGTATTTTTAATTGGTGTTAACACTTGGAATTCTTCAAGCAGAGCGGTGATTAGACATGACATTGTTACAGCAAAGAAAGGTTGAGATGGATTATCCTGAATAGTTAATAAACTGTTCAGGTAATTTCTGACAGCTTTATTAAGGTATTAAAACAGATGACCTTTTTGTATGAAGGGGTGGTAAAAAACAGTACGAAATGGTAAAAAAAAAAAATGCTAAGATCTTCCCACCATGAATTAGATCGATTTTTCAGAGTTCTTAAATTTTTCATGGTGAACTAATATTTGATGTTAGATCCCTTCTACTTTTTCTCTTGTTCCTAAGTCCCTCTATGGGAAACACTTCTTAGGTTGGTGCCTTGTTTTTTAGGGGGGAAATTTTAAGAAAATGGTGGAGATCTTCAAATATGACATTTTTCCGAACTGATAAAGGAAGTTCTTTATGAGGATACTTTATATTAATAGTATTTAATAGTATACCTTATATTAATGGTATTTAACTTTTCAAAGCCTTTGACTTTGGAAGAGAATTTTTAACAGACGTTGTTTCCTTTTAAGACTTAGAAATGTTTTCTGTCCTTTAAGGTTCATTTCATAATTTCTATGTCTTGGTTTTATGAAAATCAGTAACAACCAGTGAATGCTTACTGTGAGGCAGATCCAGCACTTTGAAGTAATTCTTACTGTGTTCCAGTTAGGTATAGGTACTACTGTTTTACAGCTGAGTAGGCTTAGAGGTTGGGTAGTCACTGAATGGCAAAGTAGAGATTATTCATATCCAGAGTTTCTTCTGTTTATAAAGTTCATACCAGTTAACTTGTGTACATAATTAGTTGTAATGCCAGTTAAAGTTTGTATTCCCACTTTGGTTGTCTTTTATCTAGAGTGGCACCTAGGGGTTTTGCATTAATAAAGCAGGTGCTGAAGGATCCATGTTAGTGGTATTTAATTATGCACTTTTGGAGAATTCCTACATATCTTATTTTAAGTGCATGAATTCCAAGAAAAAGCTTTACACTTTACAGATGCTAACGTGATAGTTGGACTGATTAGATCATGTGATTTTTTATTTTTTTTGAGCGTTAGTGAATGCTGTTGATATGAAATATGATCCTCAACCCTAAAGGAATCAAGTGAACAAATTGTTTTGTTTACAGGGGAGGAGGTGGTGAGGGAAAGGTTTGAAATATTCAGGTGAGTAGGATTCCTACAGCTGCCTAGTGAAATTTGTAAGGTTCTGGTAAGTTTCTGCAGCTGAAGGACTTCTGCATTAGCTTCTTTTGAAAATGTGGAATTTTGAAAGGAAGAATGGTTGCCTCTGGGGAAGGGAAATGGGTGGTTGACTTCTTTCTGGAGGGGAGGGGGACTTCTCACTGTACCTTTTAAATACTTGAATGTGAATGTTACCTTTTTCTTAAAATTTGTGTTGTAAGTCTATTTGATTAAGAAGTTAAAGCAACGAGTAAACTGTCAATGGAGACAGCATTGACTTCCAAATGGGTGATTTCAAAAACATGGATGTTGGAAGGCATTCAGTTCTGAGTGGCCATGTATCTCAATTCTAAAACCCAAAACTCATTTGAAAACTGGTTCTTGGTGAGTGTTTAAGCTAAGTTTAGAGATAGGAATTTTCCTCTTTCAAAGACAATTTGATATGTTCAAAATTTTAGTGCATCTAAAAAGCTTTGGACTTTTGAAATACCATTTTTCCAACTGCTAGCAACAAGGACTCATTACAGTTTTTTCTAAGGCTCTTTTAAAGAATAGGTAGAAGTACCCTATGCAGCTTCCGAACAATTTGGGTTCTCAAGAATTAATACAGGTATTCAGATGAACAATGAAATCTGAAAGGTGTGACTAAAAATTTTAGACGGCTAGAAGTTGGTGTTAAGATGATGACATAAGTAATTTGAATGGTAATGGGATTATGTGAGTTCTCTAAAAAAGGCAGTAAGATGTGGTTTTCAGGAATTTTGTGCTTTTTGGTAGGAGGGGTCAGATTTCACTGCCTTTTCTCCCTACTCCATGATAGAAGATGGTATGCCATTGTGTTGTGGCATTGTCATAGGAGTTACTTTATCCTGTTAAATTTCCTGTTGTGACACCTCTGAGGGGTGTCTCTTCAGTACCTCTTGACAAGAGTATGTGTTGATTGACTGCTTTATGTGCTTGTTTATTTTTTATAGCATTTAAGTCAAACGATATTGAGATGGATTGGGTTATGAAACATAATGGTCCAAATGACGCTAGTGATGGGACAGTACGACTTCGTGGACTACCATTTGGTTGCAGCAAAGAGGAAATAGTTCAGTTCTTTCAAGGTACCTCTAGTATTAGTCAAAGTTTAGTAGTATTTTAATTTTCTATTTGTATTATATTCAGTTTTTATTAAATCCATTTGATTTTAGACTTTTGAAGTTTGTGATAATCCTAATTAATGTATTAAAGTATGAAATGTGCTCCAGTTAAAATTCAATATAGAATGTGTAAAATATGTAAAGCCTAATTGATATACAGTAAATTTAATTGAGAATACTTTGTGATGAACAGTGAATTAGTATTGTGGAGCATAATTTTATTTGTAGCCTTTTTCATGTAATTTAGGTGGGCTTTTAGAAAATGTAATTTTTAAAAGACACTGCAAAAAATACTTAATCCAATAATATTTGAAAAAATCCGTTTGTGTTATGGGGTGATGGGGAAACTAAGCTTTTTTTGTTTTGTTTTGTTTTGTTTAGATTTGTTTTAAATATTTGATTCAGATGGGAATGTTTCAGCCTTTAACACTGTTCCCCTTGATGGGGTTATTTGTCCTTGGGTTAAAGGGTTGGAAATCGTGCCAAATGGGATAACATTGACGATGGACTACCAGGGGAGAAGCACAGGGGAGGCCTTCGTGCAGTTTGCTTCAAAGGAGATAGCAGAAAATGCTCTGGGGAAACACAAGGAAAGAATAGGGCACAGGTGGGGATGGAGAGTTTGGGATGGTGTTAAATTTTTATTTTTGGGGGTTGTGGGTCACTATTGCTTAAATGGGGGGGTAACAATAACATTTTTATGGGGTAGTTTAAAAGAATTGATAATTATCTAAATTTAACTTGGAAACTACAGATTTGGGTGGGGAATTAATGCTAATAGTTTGCTTAAATTAAAATTAGATTGTTTCCATTTCTCTGTAGGATGTTGATACTTTTGTATAATCATGTTTTCTTTAAACACTTATCACATACTAAAGGAAACAAACTAAATATTTATATTATGAATTGTTTTCAATGACTAATTTGTCTATGTGAAACTTAAATATTTAATTATTTAAGTTCATAGGTGTAAAAATTGTTAACTTATGGTGTATTTAGGCAATAAATTGGGTTATGTATCTAGACGTAGAAAAGCTTATTGCATTTTGCCCATATCTAAATTACTCTAATACATCCATGCTGAAACCTGTACCTTTAAAACATTTTTAAATAGGTATATTGAGATCTTCAGAAGTAGCAGGAGTGAAATCAAGGGATTTTATGATCCACCAAGAAGATTGCTGGGACAGCGACCGGGACCATATGATAGACCAATAGGAGGAAGAGGGGGTTATTATGGAGCTGGGCGTGGAAGTATGTATGACAGAATGCGACGAGGAGGTGATGGATATGATGGTGGTATGTGTATCTAATGAACACAGGTTCTGTTGTCATTTTCTTAATGTTCCTGACACTTTGTCAAGAAATACAGAAATGGCAGTAATTTCAGTACCTACTGGGTTTTAAAACCTGTTCATGAAAATAGATGTCCCATGGCCAGCTATGGGATTTGGTTGATGCACATATTGGCACCTAGAAAACTTACGCAGTAATTGAAATGAAGATACTGGCATATTCTGACATTTTCTCTTTTGCATAAGGATGGAAATTTAACCTATGTCTGAATTTGTCCTCCTGAAGATTTTTCATTTCCATCAACTGTTAAATACTTTTTCATATAAACTAAGTAGGGGACTGGATACAGACTGGTAATAAACAAGAATTAACAGACTGCTTACTATAAAAGTGTGTTTTGTAAATTAGGTTATGAAAATTAATTTCTTGAAATTACTTTTTTCTTAAATTATACAGGCTATGGAGGTTTTGATGACTATGGTGGCTATAATAATTATGGCTATGGAAATGATGGCTTTGATGACAGAATGAGAGATGGAAGAGGTAAACATTAGGCATTTTCATTCTGAGGTTGATTTTAATCTTTGATGCTGAGTGGTAATATAGGTGACATGAAGAGACTGGTGTATTTCAGTGCATTCCTCTTCAATAGTTTCACCTTATAGATATGCATACTTTTCTGCATGTATATATTCTTGGTAATTTTTTATTTTCCAGGTATGGGAGGACATGGCTATGGTGGGGCTGGTGATGCAAGTTCAGGTTTTCATGGTGGTCATTTTGTGCATATGAGAGGCCTGCCTTTTCGTGCAACTGAAAATGACATTGCTAATGTGAGTAATTTTATAATATTGATGTCCTAAATTTTTTCTTAAAATATTTACTCACTTGAAAGGCAGAATTTTAGAGATAGGGAGAGACAGATCTATCTGCTGTTTTCTGGCCACAATGGCTAGGCCATGTTGAACCCAGGAGCCTGGAAATCCTATCTGGGTCTCCTGTGTGGGTGGCAGGGATCTGAGTATTTTGCCATCTTCTGCTTTCCCAGGCACATTAGCAGGGAGCTGGATCTGTGCCACCGAACCGGCCTCTGTTATAAATTTTTTTGCATTCTTAATATCTGCATCTTGTAATTTAATGTCTGGTGTCAAAATCCCTTGAATACTGAAGTATTTACTTTTACCTTTAGTTCATATTTCAGTGTCTGTGTGCTGACCTACATAGGATTCAAGCAAGTCCAGTAAAGAATGGGAGGGGAGTTGGCACGCAGATTATCAGTGCCTGGGTTTGCTCCCCAGCTGTGACTCTGGCTCCAGCTTCCTGCCACCCATGTGAGAAACCCAGGTTGAGTTCCAGCCTCTTTTCTGCAGCCCAGTTCTGCTATTGCAGGCATGAAGATACTGAGTATAGTGAAACACTGATGATCACATTGTAGTAACTTTTTTGTTGTTTTGAAACAGGTTTATCAAAGTGAATGTAATAGTGATTTTTGTTGATATTCTAGGCTATTAGTGGAAACTGAGGAGTTGAAAACAGGAAAAGTGCTTCTGCTGTCCATTGGTTTATGATTGATTGGTTAGAGGATCAGCAGTCTAGTCATTCAGCCAAATCCAGTCAAACCCACTTATTTATACACTGAATTGGTTGTGTTAGAGACCCAGTGGCCTGCAAAGCCAAAAAATACATTACCATCTGGCTCTTAAAGCAAAAGATTGCTCTGTCTTTTGAGGAAACCAGCTGGCTGAAGTTCCAAGTGCCTTCTTTAAGGAAAGGTTAAAACTGGTTAAGTTGTGATTGAAACTAAATGATAGATTTTAGGAGTTTTGTGGTACTGTTGGTAGATTATTGGAAATCCGTGGTTCTGAACATAACACCTTATTTAATCTCTTTAAACTTGTTTTCTCATTGTCAGGTGACCCATTATATACTTCAAACAGCAAGTGTTAGGCTCTTAATTGACAGAATCTAGAGTTGGTTGAATTAGCCTTCAATACAGAACAATGGAAGGGTTTATGGGAAAAATCTAGATATGTGTAGTTCACTTTGCATCATCTAAATAGAATAACTGATGTGTTTTCTTCTTAGTTCTTCTCACCACTAAATCCAATACGAGTTCATATTGATATTGGAGCTGATGGCAGAGCAACAGGAGAAGCAGATGTAGAGTTTGTGACACATGAAGATGCAGTAGCTGCCATGTCTAAAGATAAAAATAATATGCGTAAGTGGTTTCCTGGGCGTGCTGTCTGGATTGTTGAATGCACCTTATCAGCTTCTCATTTGTTTAAATGTAGTAAGTTCTAGAATCTAGGTAATTGCTAGGTCACTGGAATTCAAAACCATTTGACTTAAGTTGAAACTTTGATGGCTTCCTGGCAGCTTGTATTAGGAATTGTTGATGGTACTGTGCTTTCAGTTTAATTGAATGTACTTCTTGAAGCTTTTATTGATAAAGTTGATCTATTCTTTTCTCCTGTTACTCTTTATTTTTTCATTTAAAGAACATCGATACATTGAACTCTTCTTGAATTCTACTCCTGGCGGTGGCTCTGGAATGGGAGGTTCTGGAATGGGAGGCTACGGCAGAGATGGAATGGGTATGTAAAGTCTTTAAAATAAGCAGTGTTAGCTACTTAAGCAATCAATCTCTATAAACTTATTTTTTCCTTTTGAAAAGATAATCAAGGAGGATATGGATCTGTTGGAAGAATGGGAATGGGGAACAATTACAGTGGAGGATATGGTACTCCTGATGGATTGGGTGGTTATGGTAAGTGTCTCTAGTTTAAGTACTCATATGGAATGCAGATACTACTTACAACATATGTGCATAGATAACTCCCACTAAATTATTCTTAATGTCTGTTTTTTTTTAAGGCCGTGGTGGTGGAGGCAGTGGAGGTTACTATGGGCAAGGTGGCATGAGTGGAGGTGGATGGCGTGGGATGTACTGAAAGCATCACCACCAACACATACGTACAAGTCCTAACAACAGCATCTGGTCTACTAGACTTTCTTACAGATTTCTTTTGTATTTTAAGAACTTTATAATGACTGAAGGAATGTGTTTTCAAAATATTATTTGGTAAAGCAACAGATTGTGATGGGAAAATCTGTTTTCTGTAGGTTTTATTTGTTGCATACTTTGACTTAAAAATAAATTTTTATATTCAAACCACTGATGTTGATACTTTTTATATACTAGTTACTCCTAAGGATGTGCTGCCTTCATAAGATTTGGGTTGATGTATTTTACTATTAGCTCTACAAGTAGTAAGTAGTATTATTAGTGTATTACTAGAGGATAATGGTTCACCCCTGCATAAACTGCAAGTCTTAATAAGCAGACATCTGGAATAGAGCTTGAAGAATAATTAGTGTAACTTCCTTTAATTTCTCTTGGACAATATTGTAAATATAAAGCCTAAAGATGAGTTTAGGTGGCTTTCAGGAACATAAGATCAGCTAACTATTCTTTCAAATGTCATTTATCAAGCATAGCTCTGAAATGTTGATCCTGAGGTTTCTGAATATTCAAAATTGTGTTACCTGGGGATGGGAGTGTTGTAAGTTTAAATTCATACCCTCCTAGGTGTTAAGATGAAAATTCCTTCAGCACTTGACTGAAGTACAGATGCTTCCAAAAAGTGATGGTTTGTAAGTTAACTTAAAATGTCTTAGAAAACTAAGGTTCTTGAGGATTCCATGTAAATACATAGGTATTTACCATGGAATATAATTCTCACAGGTGTATTTTCGGTTTGCTGCCCAATATAGCATATAATTCCTTAAATAATTGTGTAAATGACTACTAAAAAAATGTAAGAGAAGTCCATGTCATAGTGAAATGAGAATCCTGCGGTTGGTTTTGCATCTGATACCTGCTTGGAATTTTAGTTTACTATTATGTAGCAAGGAAAAGGTGCTTTTTAATTTTAATCTCCTTGGTCAATATACCTTTTTTCCAAAATTGGCTAATGGATCAAAATAAAACTGTCAATGTGAATATTCAGTTATTGAACTTGTTACTTGTTTTTCCTAGAAATGTTATTAATGTAATAAATGTCAATGTGGGAGATAACAGTGTTGTCTGTCCTAGAATGCTTTGTGTTGGTTAATGTATAAATCAAACTAGTACAAGGTATTGTGTTTAACTGAGGATGCATTCATACAAAGTGTGACTTCCTAAATGATTTCTGGATTAGAAAATGAGATGCGATAGCTTATATATATGGAGCCTGTTGAGCCCAGTCTGGATTCATCTTAAAGCTTTAACCTTCTTTCCTTGATTAAGTATTCTAATTCTAGAGTGAATCACCTTTTACAAAGGTCACACATACTTTTATTTTCCCAGGATTACCCTAAACACTTTAGAAATGAAGTTTGCCCTTATAAAACAGATTGATTTTTCAAATCTTTATTTTTATAAAATTCACATTTTGTTTTTAAAACAGATTAGAATTACAATTGCAATTCCTTGGCACCATGATAGCATTATTGTGATAACACTGGCTAGGTGAGGGAATGGTGTGAGGTTTGTTTAGAAAAGTTGGTGTCAGGGGTCCATCATAACAAAATAAACAAGTTTCATAACAGAAGAATCCAAAATTAGTATACATGGTTTAAAACAAGCCAAAACTAAGTTACTGCTGTTGTAAAACCTGCCTCCAAAAAACACAAATCAACGATGACATGTGAGTTTTGTGTGGTGAGAAATTTGACTAAAATTTTTCTTAATGAAATCACTTAGAATTTAAACTTGCATTATAAAATTTGATAATTTCCATTTATGCTTATTTTTTGATAATCAAAAGCACTTCATCAATATAAAACAGTTTCTAAGAATATAATTCTCTTAAGGACATTCCTGTGAGTATTCAAGAAAGACCATCTAAAAATCCGTATGTCCAATTTAACTGAAGTTACCTCAAAAGCTGACTAGAAATTTATGGGTTCTAGAGAAAATAGACCTTAGAAGTAAAATACTGGTTTCACACCTTGGCAATTTAGAAAATTTTAGATTTTAATGAGAACGCTGAAAAATAAGTACTTAGGGGCACAGGTATCTATGATGAATCATTAAATTAATGCTCCTAGGTAGTGTAAAATTCATGCATGACATACAAAAATAGGATCTTGAATGGTGATGCCATGTAAGTGATTATATAAACGTAATAGTTTTACAGATAAAGTTCTTACTGTAAGCAGTGTGATTGGATTAATGTCCATTTATCTTTGAGTTTATAAATAGTTTAAGTGTTTCATGGTAGAGCAGACCCTCATCCTCAAAACTCTGGCACACAGGTGCTTGGTAGACAGTGAAATTTTACTGTGCACATACTGTGGCAGTGTTAGGAAGCATCCTTCCTAAGTTTGAAAGACTCAAGCCTAAGTTCCATCAAAAGGCAAAGTTCTCATTTTTCATGTACGTTTAACATCTAAAGGAGAGAATCAGGAGTTTGTAATCCTTTTTTACTACAAACTTTCTTTTCTGAGAGATCTTTGAAGTGGAGTCTGAGCCACCTCTACCAAAGTTAGCAATTCGGTGAAAACAGGCAGCATATGGGAAAATCTTGATCTGGCAATTAAGATAAAAGGATGATAGTTATACACTTCAAGATTCCGGCGGGGGGGGGGGGGGGGGGCGGGGCCCCCCCCCCCCTTTGGCCCCCTTGGGTAAACCCCTGTGGGGGGGGGATCCCCAATGGGCCCCAGGGTCCAGGCCCGGGTGGCCCCTTCTCAGTTCAACTCCGCTGGGGCCCGGGAAGGCAGGGGAGGAAGGCCCAAAGGCTTGGGCCCTGCCCCCGCCTGGAAAAACCGGAAAAAACTCCCGGGTTTGGATTGGGACAGCGCCCGCCGTAACAACCCTTTTGGGGGGAAACCCAAGGAAAAAAAAACTTGGCCCTCCCTGGCTATTTTTCTGTCAAATAGATTGCAAAGGGAAGGTAGAGACTGAATTAGCCCAGTGTCCCTGAAAGACACCAGCAAACACAAGAATTTGTAAGGTAAATACAAATACTAGCCTTTTCCAATGCAGAAAAGGAGGAGAAAGTGCAAATGTAATAAGATTAGAGTACTATTAAGATAATGAAAAATGTGTGGAGTTAGAGTACTAATACTTAAAGCAAGATTGGTGCTTTTCCAGTCTTAGAGCTCTGAAGCTTTAAAGTGCATTAAGAAAATTGCAGGCACCATCAAATACCAATCTGACAATCTAGAATATATCTGAAGCCTTATTTTTGAAAAGGCTTTTTACAAGATAAGGCAAATGTGTGTCAGCTATCTGGCCTTTAGATGGAGACAAGGGTTATTACATGGTTACTATATTACAAATTAGGCTAAAGTTCTTTTAAAGCATGCTCTGTTGAAAATTCTGAGTAACAATGTCAGGAAGGAAATACTAAATGATAGAATTTTATAATTCCCATGAGCTGAATAAGCAGATCCATGGTACCAGTAACTGGCTGAAAGCTGCTCAGGAAGGGCCGGCTGGATGCCTTGTGTACACGGTCATGGAACATTCGCTGCAGGTTTCATACAGGTGGATTCAGGTCTGGAGTCTTATGGCACATTAGATGAGCATCTCTGAATAAGCATTGCGTGACAGGAGTCACAGACCCGGACTGGCTTTGGTGAAGAAGGCAGAGGCAGCTCGTTGTCAGAGCAGGCATTACAGAAAATCTCCCCACAGTTTCTACAGTGGTGCTAGTAAATGGGAAGAACAAAGAAAGCTATGAATAAAACAGACCATTTTAGCACAATTTTTGGACTTGCTGCCTACTTCCCTTACCTTTCTTTTTGAAAGTGAGAATTCCTTTTCACAAAGTTTACAGTGTGTTGCTTCTTTGTCTTTCAGCCAAACCAGTCCCTAGTAGGAGGAAATTATGAACAAAGTGCTCAAATTGGTCACACCAAAACAACACGTGAAAATGTTTTGCCTAAGGTGTTTTATATGAATAAATAGTCAAAAAATCTTTGAGACCTAGATAACAAATACTAGTAGATGCAGTAATCTTGCATATTCTGGGTTGGTGGAGGGTCAATGCAGGTTGAGCATTAAAAGATTGCCTTTAGCCCAACTCGTTATTTGCTCAGCTTCCTGCTAATGGCAGGGAAAGGCAGTAGAAGATGGCCCAAGAGTCTGGGTCCCTGTGACTCCTGTGGGAGACCAGGCTGGAGCTTTCTGGCTTCTACCTGGCCCAGACATGGCTGCTGTGGGCACTTAAGAGAGTAAACCAGGGCTGGCGCTATGCTGTAGTGGGTAAAGCCACTGGCTGCAGTGCCAGCATCCCATATGGCAGCCGGTTCGAGTCCCAGCTGCTCCACTTCCGATCCAGCTCTCTGCTGTGGCCTGGAAAAGCAGTAGAAGATGGCCCAAGGCCTTGGGCACCTGCACACATGTGGGAGACCCGGAAGAAGCTCCTCGCTCCTGGCTCCGGACTGGCTCAGCTCCAGCCGTTGCAGCCATTTGGGGAGTGAACCAGCAGATGGAAGACTCTTTCTCAGCCTCTTCATCTCTCTGTGTAACACTGACTTTAAAATCAATCTTTAAAAAAATAAATAAATAAACCAGCAGATGCAAGTTCTCTGTCTCTCCCTCTTGTGAACTCTGTCTTTTGGATAAGAAAATATTTGTGAAAAGCAAGATTGCTTACATATTAATACTGAAACTGGGTAATGGTTCATTTGGTTCTTTTCTGTACAATTCTATGTTTACTATAATGCAGGATAATTTTTTAAAAAATATTACTGATTGGCCGGCACCGCGGCTCACTAGGCTAATCCTCCGCCTAGCGGCGCCGGCACACCGGGTTCTAGTCGCGGTTGGGGCGCCGGATTCTGTCCCGGTTGCCCCTCTTCCAGGCCAGCTCTCTGCTGTGGCCAGGGAGTGCAGTGGAGGATGGCCCAGGTGCTTGGGCCCTGCACCCCATGGGAGACCAGGAGAAGCACCTGGCTCCTGGCTGGGCTAGGCTGAAGGCAAAAGCTCCATCTGGTACTCCCACGTGGGTGCAGAGCTGCAAGCAGTTGCTTTCCCAGGCACGTTAGGGAGCTGGATTGGAGGCAGAGCAGACAGCATTTGAACTGGCGCCCATATGGCATGCTGGTGCTCCAGATGGCAGCCCAACCCACTCTACCACAGGCCTGCCCCTCCCCGCAAGTTCTAAAAGTCAAGTTTAATTAGCTGTTAGGTAACCTTTAGAAACAGACATACGTAGTCTTAGGACCCAATACCTAAAATTTATTTTATTTTTAAAGATCTATTTTATTTGGAAGTCAGAGTTACAGAGAAGGAGAGGGGGTCTTCCATCTGCTGGTTCAATTCCCAACTGGCCACAATGGCCGGAGCTGCACTGATCCAAAGCCAGGAGCCAGGAGCTTCTAAGTCTTAGACAAGGACTTGGGCCACAGCAGAGAGCTGGATCTGAAGTGGAGCAGCTGGGACTCAAACCGGCACCCATATGGGATGCCAGCACTGCAGGCAGTGGCTTTACCTGCTACGCCACAGCACCAACCCCCTAAAATTTATAAATTGGCCCTTTTTTTAACCAATCTTGGCTGGATTGAAATTCCAGTTTCCTGGATACAACCCCAGCCTGGGAAGTGACAAGTAGTTGGGAGAGCTGTCTGCCTGTCACAGGTTAGATCACAAGATTAATTTCAGGTATTTGTTTCACAGACTAGCAAAACTATGTGTGCTATTTGTACACAAGGAAGTCTAAGCCTCTTCAGAACAAAGGATTAAAAATTCATCTACAGTTAGAGGGAGAGACAGAGATCTATCTTCTGGTTTGCTCCCCAGTCCTGGCTGCTTCACATTAGCTCTCTGCTAATGGCCTGGGAAAGCAATGGAAGATGGTCCAAGTGCTTGGTCCACTGCACCCATGTGGGAGATCCAGTAGCAGGATTTAAAAATCCCACAGAAAGTTGTACCTAATTTAATGAAGGCCTGGGAGTAAACTGAGTTCATAAGCAGTAAGGAGATAAAGGAACAAGTTAACAATCTAAAGCAAGCAATGACTAAAATCCAAAATGTGAAAAACAGTTTAGGAGAGCTGTTCCAGACCCTTCAACTGCTGAACA